AGGAGGCTGTAACTCGCTTAGGATTAAGATCGAGTTACCTGGTCATACTATGAGATACCAATCTATTGACTAATGGTGTTAAAGCCAATGATTAATTATTTTGCGATCTGGTCTTATACAAACTCATTGTATAAGATATCCCCACTCGCATGTCTTTCTACATGAATGACTTATATAAACTCGTTTGTAACTATTATAAAGCGGGTCGTATCCATAATGTTACCAAGATATGGTCCAACATTATCCATGTACTATAGATCATTTAGGTTATCACTGGAACATTATCCACTTGTATATCAAATATATATTGTACATATATTGTATATCAAAAATATATACTGTATATTAAATATATATCGTATATCAAATATATACATTGTATATTAAATGTATATTGTATATCTAATATATATTGTTCTAGTTACATTAAATAACATTGGATCTTAGTTTATGGAATGCGAATAATGCAAAGCAATAATAAGATAACTCTTTATTGAATAAATAATTTGTTCATCAATTACAAATACACGAGCTAAGGGCACCAAACCCAACATACATGTTCTCTCATATTTCAGTTCAAGTTCTTTGTGTGTATGTAGCGAATTCCTGTTCCGAGCAGGCTTCTCTATGAGAATCTTTGGCATCTTTTTAAGAGTTGGCGGGTCTTATTGCAAATACTCAAAAGAGCTCGTTTTTCGGGGTGGGTATTCCTGATGTTGAGGTGGAATGGTTGGTGGTCTTCTTAGGCTTTTCAGTGGGATCGCTTCTTGTGCGTTATGTCGGGGTTCCACTTCTTTCTCGCTAGCTTTCTCATCGTGATTGTTAGCCTTTACTTGAGCGGATTGTGTCTCATGTTTGGAGTTGGTCGGCTCGGGTGCTTCCTTTTGTTGGCCTATTGCAGCTTATACGATCGATTCTACAGAGTTTTCAGGTCTATTGGGCCAGTGTGTTTATCCTTCCAAATCAGGTTGTTTATGATGTTAAGCGGATTCTGTGTTCTTTCTTGTGGAAGGGGCGCGAGAGCGAGCAATTAGGGACTAACGTGGCTGGCTTAGTCTGAAGTGTGTATTCCTTTGAGGGAGGGTGGTTTGGGTGTGCGTCACTTGGCCTCTTGGAATTCTACCGCTATAATATAGCTACTATGGCTTCTCTTTACGCGGATCATTCGTGCTTCGCCTCTATTCTCTTTTTGTTGGTCGGGATATTCTTTTTGTCCGGGACGCTTTTCGGCCTCTGGTTCGGTTTGTTATTAGAGGGCATGACGCTTGGCTTCCGGGAGGTTCGATTTATCCGAGGTTTGGTGATCGAATTATCTATGATGTTGCAAGCTCATCCCGGCGAAGGTTGCTTATTTTATGTTTCCCAATGGTTCGTGGCGCTGGCTTGGGGGGTTGGTTGATCTTCGGCAGTTGGTCCCTAAGGTTTCATCTGTGCAGGTTTTAGTTTAGAGGGTTGATGTGCCCATTTGGATTCCGGTGCGTCGGGTCTCTTCTCAGTGTCGAGTGCGTGGGGTGTGTTGCGGTTAGCTCGGCCTTCTATTCTTTGGTTTTCTTGTTGGTTTCGTTTGGTGGTAACATTCTGAAGCATTCTTTCATTGCTTGGTTAGCAAGGCGTGATCGGCTTGCTATGAGGGATCGCTTATGTTGTTGGGACTCTTCTGTTCCTGCTTCCTATGTGTTTTGTGCTAGCATGGAGTCCCGGGATCATCTATTCTTTGAGTGTCCCTTTAGTTGGGAGGACTGGTCTGGCATGATTGTTTGGGCTGGTTCTTCTTACCGAGATTCATATTGGTCTACGAAGCTTATTGTATTTGTCACATTAGTGCCGGGAAGTTTGCTCGTCGTCATGTGTGGTGCTTGGCCTGGACTTCTACTGTTTCTTTTATCTCTAGGGAGCGGAATGCTAGAGTTCATGCAGGTGGGGTGAGTCGGCTGCCTTCTGTCCTCATGCACACCTTGAAAGCTTAGATCTATTATCGTTATACTACCTGGCCTGGGAGCTGTAGTTTAAATTCTGGTCCTATGTTTATCTTGGCCTAGGATTTGTTTTCTTGATTTAATTTTTCTTTCTTCTTGTCTTGTGTTTGCCCTTTGAGTGTTGTGTCTTGATCTCGAGTTGTGAGATCCTACGTTTTTTGTTTAATATATTTACCTTTGAAAAAAAATAAAAAAACCGTACGAAATGCCTGAGTATATGTAGTTCCAATTTTGGCTTTAAACAATGTTTTAATTTTACCTTTAATCTTTAAATTTTTGTTAGATATTTTAACTAAAATTTTATAAATGATAGATAAAGATTTCGTGATACGTTTGAAAATTTAAAAGCTAAAAAAATTAAAACGAATTATATTTTATATGATTTAGCCTTTTATTTTTTACACTTAAAATATATTTGATTGCTAATGTTGGATTGTTTTTCGATCTAGTTTCTATGCTTTAAAAAGTTTAAATTTAATCCTTTATGTTTTAATAATTTTCAATTATATCATATTTTGTTGGATATTAAAATGAGTTGATTATAAACTTAAAATTTAAAATTAGTTTTAAAATATTAAAAATGAAGCAAGAACTATATTGGAAAAAAGACACCCAAACTTTTACCGTTTGTTTGGCGTCAATAAAGTTTAAGAAATTAAATTATGTGATTTGAATTCTAAGAAATGATTTTAAATTCCTTATCTTGTTTGGGAGGGGAATGATTTGAAATGAAATAAATTAAAATTTTTTTGTTTGGATGTTTGCTGAAAATGAAAAGAAAATAAAAATTTTACTGATTTGGACTTTTAATTTAAATTTATTATTTATAAGTTAAAATATGACCGGATTAAATTTGTAATTTACTTTGAAATTATACGAAATCCCTCGAAATCTGGATTATATAATTTACTTTATATAATTTTTTTTACATAAAAACTGGACTTGAAATCTGCCAAAATCATGAGATGTCAAACCGCGGCATTCATTTGAAATCCATAATGATTTTGAAATGTCTCAAAATGTGGGATACCAAAGACAACATTAGGACTATAATTTAAAACATATATTTTACCTATTTTCAAGTGGGGGATGGGAGTTTGGTTGACAAAGCACAAAGAATGTGGAAGAAAGAATTGTTGGGTGAGTGGTGTAGAAGAAAAGGAAGAGAAAAAGTTGTTTAGCTTTTCACAAAATCATCCACATTCAATTAAAGTGGATGGATTGCCCAATTTCATTTCTACCAAGTACTCCCTTCCTTGACACCAGACATACATAAAAAATTGTTTAGATATGCATCGAACTCATGAAATTGTTCCAACGTAGATAAAGATCTTGTTTACCATTCTTGACTCTTGTATTCATGGTGTTGGGGTTATGAAATTCTTTTTTTTTTTATTAAAAATGAAGAAAAGGTAACAAGAAACAAGATTAATTATATTCTAAAAAAATATTTTCAATTTTCAATTTATATTTTCAAACATATTTTCAATTTATATTCTAAAAAAAATAGAAAGTTGTTTTGGAAAAAATCACCTAAGATTAATTAGGTTACAAAGGATTTGTTTTGTTCACATTTCTTGTTTCAACATTATTATTATTATTATTATTATTATTATTATAATATTCGATAACCATTTTGTTTGTTTCTTGTTCTATTTCTTTTAATTGAAAAAAAAAACAGTAATGCATTTCATAATTATTTCTAATTTTTTGTCCTCAGAAATATTAAAAATAAAAGACATATATAAAAAATTACTTTTTAATAAAAATATTAAAAATTGTGTTATATTTATTATTCATTTTATAAGTGAATTGATAAAACAATATTTTTATTTGTGTTTCAAAAACTAAAAATGAAAATTAGGAACTCGTTTTTGTTACAATTTTGAAAACGTTTTTTTAAATACAGGAAACAAGAAATAGGAACAAGTACCAAGTATATTAATTTTTCCAAAGCTGAAAACAAGAAACAAAAACGCTAAAAAACGACCCTAAACTACTCCCACTACATTAGACTAGGGGTGTTCACGAGTTGGATTGGGTCGGGTTATGGGAGTTTTTTGGACCAACCCGAATTTTTGGGTTGGATAGATTTGAGAACCGATAGAGCCGAACTTGACTGGCAACCCAACCCAACCCAACCCTTATAGTTTCGGGTTATATCGGGTTGGGTTGCCAGGTTGAGACGAAATGAGGGGAAGAGTGCCAAACAAAAAATTAGTATCGAAGAAAACCCAACCCAATGCTCAAACTGCACCAGCCATCGAAGGAAGATGGAAAGGGGAAGGTGGGACAGTAGGGATGGGGGCATGAGAGAGTCTCTGTCCCCGTCGAAATCGAGGGTTTAGGGTTCCATCGAGAATAGAGATTGAAGATTTACAGATAAGAGGGGATCAGAACGACGAAGAAAAAATCGTTAGCGAAATCGGAGAAGACGAAATCGTAAGCATGAAGAAGACTTATACATCAGAGATTAGGTTGTGACCAATGTACTCGAATCTTGCGACGGAGTTGTTTGTGCTCGATATATTTCCGATGGTCTACCTCGCCGCCGACGATTGCTTCCGGGGACGATCATAGTCTTAGAAATAGTTCTAGAGAGAAAGGGAGATGAAAGGAGGGGGAGTGAAGGAGACGGGAGAGGGAGATGAGGTGGGGGGGGGGGCCATCTGGAGGAGACAAAGGGGGAAACGAGGGATGAGAGGCGACAGAACTGTGATCCCGTCCCAAACCCTAAATTTTACATATATATATATATATCTTTTCTTATTATTATTATGTAAATGTCAGTCCGATTCGGTTTGGATCGAGAAAAATTTTACTCAACCCGTGAACCGAACTGAGTTTTCGATTCTACCAAAAATCAACCCAACCCGACCCAATTTATTTTTTAACCCAACCCATATGGTTCGGGGTTAGTTCTTCGGATTGTCGGTTTTTTTGAACACCCCTACATTAGACCATAGAGTTTCATTCCATCATGTCATGAATTACAAGCTCTTAACTCAACTCATATAACTACACTTCATAAAAAAATTACATGAGACTTTGCTGCTGAGGGATTAACTCATTCAAAAAGTTTATATACATATTACCTTTTGTAAATATTATCTTCTTTGTTACAATTTAATAACATAATGACATGAAACCATACTATATCCAGGATCATCACAAACAAATTTACAGCTACAAAACAAGGAGCAAATGATACTCATCTTAGAAGCTCAAATGACTGTCCTCGAACGACTTCGCCTGTGCCATTAGCGGAGTTCAAACTAGAGCCTCGCCGAAGCATCCTCTGCTTCCGAAGGCTCTCGTGGCACGAGTTGAAGAACTCGTGCTTCAGAGCTTCCTCTGCAGTAATCCTTAGCCTCGGATTCACTGTCAGACACTTATCCACCAGATCGAAAAGCGATCTCGGGATGAGCTTGAAAAAATCTGGTCGCCTTGTGTGAGCCTTGACCCAGCTTTGCAAATCCATAGCTGGGAAGGACCGTATGTGGAACAACTCCTGCAACATTTTGAAAACTTTCACATTAGTGAACCAAAATAAGCTCACAAGCAATCTATCTCATCAGTAGGCTTCTCAAGAAAATGTCAGAACAGGTGAATGTATAAAGAACCAGACTACTGGTCAACTGGACATCTTCTCGTTTCCACAAAGGATTAGACTCAATGAACGAACGAATCAACCGACCAAAAGATCAGTAGCTTACATACCATCCTATCACCGATATTGCTGTTTGTAATCAACTCATAAACAGATAGATAGAAGGAACGCAACTGGTCAGGATAGCTTGAAAGCTATTTCAAACATAGGTGCAAGGTTGGAAGGTAAAGCTTTTAAGATATTGAACGTAGAAAAAAATAAAGGATGAAGAAAAGGAAATGACGTATTATCATTTGATACCTAACAAAAAGTGGAGCGAAAGAGGAAAAAACTTGTTTATAAGAGAATGAATGATGAAGGGATTTTTTGTTGAAAGAACAAAAAATGCAGATCTCAAGGAGTCTGGACAAGCCTTTTAAAGATACTCAATCACAACAATTACAATCACAATCACAACAATTATAATCATGTTTTTTCATGCTTGAGTGGTTCACAATATGAACACGTTTCGGATGACTTATAAATTCCGAAAAGCCAAAATCTCAATCAATTTATTGCTAGCAAATTAAAAATCAAGACTCTTTTTCCTTCAGAACAATGGAAATTTATAAAAACAGGAACTTCTTGCTTGAGATAAGATGAAGAAATACCCCTGGAAATGCAGATTCACGATCATGTAATTTGGCCACCTCCCATAAATCTTCACTGCCTCTCAATTTAGCAATGTCTTTTATATTCCTACCATGATTTATAGAAGTCAGAAATGCCACTGCACAGGAACAAAACGCCAAAAAAAACAACTTTTGATTCATGTTTGGCATGAAATATTACTGTTCAGGGTCTCCAGTAAAAGGACTTCTTCCAACCATTAGATAGAGAAGGGTAACACCAGCAGACCAGACATCGACCTGAGGCCCTTGATGCAGGGATCTGAATAAGACCTGTATAATTACGTACATTGATGTCAATTCCCCGACAAAATAGTAGTCGTATATGAACCCGAAAACACATAACTACAAAAAAGAATTATGAATTTTGTATCAAGGTAACAGTAAATAAATCACCTCAGGAGCTCGAAACCCCTTTGTCCCAGCACAAGAGCCCTCTCTTTTACGCTTTCCATCTCCTGGAAGTAACTTTACTTGAGAAAGTGAACATAGAATCCAGATACTTGAAAATTAGAGCATTAATCTACAAACCTTTACTTTTTAGTACCCTAGAACCAGCTATAGGAACACCAGAACAATGGACCAGCATTGGGCTTGGCGATATAATTTTGTTGTCTTCCTTGCCTGGAGGAGCGGCTATCCTTTTCCGTCGTAAATCAGAACTATTTTGGGTGACATGGTCAGCACTGCGTAATGCATTTTGCACCAAACTTAGCAGTTCCTTTCTTCCTTGACATGGAAGAGGCTCCCTCTTAGTTTCTGTGGAAGGCGTCCTAGCACTTGTTACATCCTTTGCAGAGGTTATACCAGATCCATCTGCACCCTGGCTTCGAATTGCATTCCCACCACCCATATCTGGATAATTTTTCAAGGGTACGCAACTTCTCCTTTTCAAGTTCTTATCATGTTCGCTAATCTGCTTAGATGTTCCTGTTTCCCCCTTGCTGAGAGATACAAAACTCCTGAAGTTCTTTTTGTCCTTCACTGCTGACACAGCATGAGAGACAGGAACATGATCCAAAGATGCATGATGGCTTGAAGTTGATTTACCTAAACGAAGTAGATTAATTAATCAGATTAAGTGAATTACATTAAAGTGTGTATAGCCTAACAAGATAAAAACCCATCAAAAAGGGATTTACTATCAGTTCGTAAGATTCCTGTAAAAATGTAATACAAATATTGTCTTTAAATCTTCATTTTTTTCATTGGCAAGTGACGAATGACTTCAGGAATTAACCTAAGAACGCAGAGTGTCAAGAAAAAACTTACTGGCCATGGAGTACTTCTGCTGTAAATCCTGCAAAAAAAACATCACAGAATATTAGGATTTTTTAAATTAACGTTCAATCAATGGAGGTAAAAACTTTACTAGATGTTAAATAGCAAAGGAAACGCAGAGACCAACCATGGCAAGGTTAAAATCAATGAGGTAGCCTTTGTTCTGCTTCCTAGAGAACAGGAAGTTACCAGGCTTAACATCTCTGTGCATGACTCCCTAAAATTGTCAATGCGAACTAGTTAGACAAAATACTCTGTAAAGAACTGCATTGCACTTCCATTCAGGCACAACTACTTACAGTTACAGCAACACCTCACCTGCTTATGTAAACATTCTAAGGCCTTAAACAAGCAGTAACCGTACCACTGTAGCTGAACTAAATCAATTTCTTTCTTCAAAACCTACATATTAACATAGGACAATAAAAACAATTTGATTAAATACTAAAAACTAAGTAAAAATTTAAAGAGAATTTAGATACGGCTAACTACTTTCAGGTACCAATTCTCTATCCTCTAGAACTAAATTTTAGCTTAAAATACTATTTTGGTCCCTATACTTTGGTACTTATTCTATTTTAGTCCATGTACTTTCAAATGTCTAAATTTAGTATCTATACCATCAATAAACCTTAAAATTAGTCTGAGTTCACAGTTAACTTTTCCTAAAGAAAATATAGTCTCCAATTGCCTCCCCGCATCCTTTCTTGAATGAAAATTTATTTTATAAGGTTAGATCAAACTTAACTTCAAATTAACGATGAGGACTAATTTTAAGATCTATTGAAAGTAGAAAATACTAAGACTAAATTTGGACTTTTAAAAGTACAAAAACTAAAATGGAATGAGTCTTAAAGACAGGGATGAAAATGGTTTTTTAACCTAAATTTTATCGCATGAAACTACTATCCATAATTTGTGTTCACTTTCCATATTACTAACCAACTAAATAATTCAAAATAGTAACATAAAAATGATTGCCACATATTATATTTGAATTTCAAACAAATTACCTCGGGTCGGTCATGTTCAACATGTTCTAGAATAAAGCACTCGCTGTTGCCACTACTAAAGGACCCTTCATACTTGATTATGAAGTTCCTTCCTCTGCATGAAAAAAAACATCAATATGACATTGCGATTTATAAAAGCTTATGTTAATCAAAGATAGTGTTGTAATGTTTCTTCTCTATATACATACCCAAACCGTTCAAGCATTTTTAGCTCATTGTTAACATTGTGCTTGTGAGCATTGACATGGGGACCTGAAAATGCAAGTATACAACATTGGTCATATATTTTCATTTTTCAGTAAAGAAAAATATTTCTTCCAAAGAATAAGAGTTATAATTTATTAAATACGAATCTAACTTGAGAATAAAATATAGAACTATTATTGAAATAATTAAAAATGGACCGAAAGACATGGGACAAAATCAAAAACGAGTTTTATCTAACACGATACAGTCACATTCCCCCTTGGACCAGCTCCTAGTAGTTTGATCCAGTAGAAACTATAGAGGATTCATCCTTTTGACTTGCAGACTTGTAAACAACTACACTTCCTGAATCCTAACTACTTCTAGACAGCACCAAATTAGAGAGCAAAATTGAGCAGTAGACTACAATTTAACTAATTATTAGGTCCAAAAGCACCTGAGTTCTGGTTCAACTTAAATCTATGCACTCATTTTTTAGGTGCATGCATGTAGTTAAATTTTCTGAAAATAATTGAAGAAAATCTTCCTTTTGCCCCCATGTTCCCAACTTCTCATCGAGATTTGAGCCTAACATGCATTTCCAACCATCCAAGGAGTTATTATTAAAATAACCAATAGTTCATGAATGTAATAACCAAAGAAAAAAAAAAGGACGAAGACAATAATAACTAAACATATTTCGACAAACTTGGCAGCTTACATTTGATAGCTATCCGTTTCCCGTCACTTGTTCTTCGAGCCCTGTAAACAGTTCCATAGCCACCTGAATACGTTGTGGACAATATTAGGAACGGTGGAAATAAGAAGAAATAGGAATCTGCCGTCAGAAAGATAAGCAAAGGATAGTAGCATACCAGAACCTTCTTCTTCCTCAATGATGAAAGACTCAAACTGAGGAAATGATGTTTTCTCCAACTGCTTCAACAGAGCAATCATTAGAGATTTTTTTTCTACTACAACCGTACATAGCCAATAGCACATTTTAGCTCAAGCCTCAATTCTCGTTCAAGGAGCTATCAATTAAAAGTAGATAACTAAGGTTGTGTAAAACGAGTGTTAGAGAAATATTACCTTCAGAGATGCAGTGGTAGAATCCAAAGGATTCTCCTTAATACGCACATTCTCATTTGAATTCTTCTTAAACTTATGCACCTTGGACTGCTTATGGACACTGTTGTAACGGTTTTGCTGTTCAGGAGGGGGGTAAAAACCCTCCTTATTGATTGCTGGCGCCATGAGAACTTCCTCTTGAGATAGAGTGCATTTTTGTGATCCTTTAAGTTCCCCAAAGGTCTTTACAGGTGGCTTCTGATTAAACGATTGGTCAGGTAACGAATTGGGAATTTGAATTTCGTCTTTCCTGGATATGTCATCTCCATTCATGTATGATATAGTTACTGGGTTTCTCAAGTCTAGAAAGTTTCTTTCTGCTTCATCAGTAACTGCATGCCCTTCCAAGTGAACAATATGGTTCTCTGTTGTTCTAGTATACTCGGAACAATTTTTTGTCTCGCACATCTTGTTTTTGTCATCTTCTGGCTTCCATCCCAAAAGATCATAAGGCTGCATATCATCTCCAAAGCACAACGCAGAGGTGTTTCCTGATTTATAGGCCAATATATTGTTTTTATCAAGAACTTTGTCATGAGGAAGTGTGTAAGTGGAGCTACATGGTGGACCCAAAGAAAGATCGAGGTTACATGAAAATCCTCTCTCTGTGTGCCTTGAATTTGGTATACTCGAGTTTTTTTGGACTTTTTGCATGTCACAATCATGTCCATTTTCACTTGCAGGCCCGGCATCATCTTGGTTCGTAGCTCCATTTGTTTGAACAACATCATCAGCTCCCATTCGTCCAGCATAATTTATCAAAAGGTTCGGAAAATCAGCATAATCAAGAAACAAGGGAACTTCATCAATTTTAACATCCGAATGTCCAATTCCGAGTTTCCCAACAGGCAAATCAACTGTCAGTGAACTTGAACTGGTGAGAGTTACATAGTCAGCAGGTACCTTTATGCAGGGAATAAAGTCAGTTGTATTCTGCACTTAATAAACTGTAAGTTCCAAACTGAAGTCAAGCATGAAAAAGTCATTATCTTGTAGAACATCGCGCAAAATCAAAACAAATTAAAGACCAAAATTGTCGCAAAATTATGAAATTCCTATAATTCCTGGTTTACCATGCTTCTATTAGAAAAATGAAACCATCAAGCGATTCAAAGATAAGGAGTCCAATATAAATAATATTCACAGTTGTTTCACTGAGTCACCATTAACTCAATCAACGTATGAATGTCCATAACTAGAATAAACATATACATATATATATACATATACATAAAAGAAATGCCGAAGGGATAAATGGTCAGCAACCAGATTGAACTATTTGAATTTGTAACACTAAGAAGTCATTTTTGTCACTGCTGATAAGAATTTAACAGTTTCAAACTAAAGAGAAGCATCTGGGTCCTTCAAATACATCTAAAGAATATGTGAAGAGGAATTGAAAGAGCAAAATTGAAAAGTACCTCAGCCAAACTATGCGGAATCCTTCTCATTAATGACAAGCAACTTCCATTCCCTGCAACAATGCCGTCAATCATCTCTACTCGGACTATGAATGAAGTAACTAAGAAGATGAATCGAAAGCAAATAAAGAAAACAAAAAACAAACCCTAAACTCGTACCATTTCCAGGAGCTGAAGTTAACATCCGTTTAGCAGCAACAGACACTCCACAATCAAACACTGATCTTTTCCGTTTCCTAAAGTAGGTTTTAACATCGCTACCCCACAACCTATTTGGCTCCAGAAGTCCGAAATCCCGTCTCAAAAAGTCGCACCCAGTCACTGCCTTCGAAAAGTACCGCCCCACAGCTGCGATTGCAACCATGGAGATCAAAACAAGAGCATTATCGGCTAGACAGACAGGAGAACTGGGAATGGAGCATAGATATCGAACAAAATCCGGTGTAGCACTGAACAATTCGCATCTCGCAGCGAGTTCTTCTACAGAAGCAGGGCGACCAATATCCAGTAGTATCGTACATAGATGCCAAGCTTTCTGCAGTTCTACAGTGCTGCGGAGACCGAACTCAGCCGCAGGATTAAGAGGAAAGTAATCAGCCATAATTTGCAAACGATGAAATCAATTACACAACAAATTGAAGCTCCCAGATTCCATATCTACTCCACACTGCTCAACCTGAAGCCGAACTCCTCAGATCTGCGTTGGAGTTGAAGAAACCGATCGAAGATTTGGAGAAACGTGAGAGGCAAAGATTTGGAGGAGAATTGAAGGAAACTGTGGGCAGAGGATTAGGGCCAGAGAGAAGAAGCGGGAAACGAAGAATCCGAAGAAAGTTGTATATTTTTTTTTTTGAGGGATTGGACTTTGGGGGAATTCCCGCCCTTTTTTCTGTTTGTCTACTTGAATTACCAATAACCATGGATAAAATAAAACCGGACAAGAATAATAATAATAATAATTAATAATTAAAGGTAATATTGCACCAACTTTTCTAATCTACAACCGTGGAGGTTCAGTACAAACGTAGAAGAAGGGAGTCTAACTCAAAAGTAACTGGTATGTGCCTCCAATCGTATTATACCCAATTATGAAGTATATTAACGATAATATACATATAATAAAGTATATCAATTAGTATATTTAGTGTAGTTGATATACTTCATATTAAATGTATTAGTTATTCATTAATTTTAGATATATTAGTTATGTCAATTATATACTTTGTTGGCACGGGGGCGTGCATTGAATCCACAGGGGTTCCAGCCCCCTCTCCTAAAGTTAAAATTCTATATTTATTATATAAATTTACTTTTGGGTCAGTGACACTTGCACGTGCCAACCCCCTTAAAGTTAGTTGCATGCCTACGTTTGTGCCCTCTTTCCGAGCTTGAGTTTGGGTGTTTTTAATTCCTTTTCATTTATATATAGTCCTCATTTTTATTTCTTATATAATTTGGGATTTTTGAATGTGTAATTTGCATTTTTATTTATTTTTTCATAATTCGTGATTTTCGCATGTGTAATTCGCATTTTGTGTTAGCCGCACGTGTTTGAGCTCGCGTTTGGGCGCTTTAACTTTTTTCTTACGTAATTCGCATTTTTTTTCATAAGGTGTGATTTTTCCATATGTAATTTGTATTTTTATTTATTTTTTCATAATTCATGGTTTTTCCATATTTTTTTCAATTCAATTTTTTTCGTGAGTTTTATAAAAGAGAAAAATTTCGTCAATTTTATTTTTAAAGAAGGAAAAGAACTCATAGATTAGGTCAATTTTTAAAAAATGAAACAAAAAAAATAGAAATGACAAATTTTCTGGAAAAATGTATCTTTTTTTTTTTTTACAATCCAATATGTAGATTTAAAAAAATGAAAAAGAATAAAATATACCTCTTGGTTGGAGACATATGTCAATTACCGCTGAACTATGTTCACTTTGGCAATACAATATATAAGTTGCTAGGACATTTATGGGATAATTGTTGCCTGCAATTTCTTGACTTATTTTTGTTTTCAATTTATACGTTATCGTTACATATAGGTAATTTTTTTTTAATTATTATACTGATATTTTTTTTTCTTTCTTTAAATTATCATTTTCATATTCAATTGTTCTTATTTTATATAATTTTTTCATTTCAATTTTGCACTATTAAAGAAGTCGAAATTTTCGAAGATTCATTGTCAAAGTACATTTTATTAACTTTACATCTTATATAATATTAATTTTACTATTTGACGTTATTTTAAATATAATAGTTAGTAAAAGCTTGGACTATAATATAAAATTGTCATGTTTCAACTGCTTTTTTACATATAATTATTGTCATTCATATTTTATGTGTTTAAATTTTTATATTATTTTTATTAATATTCTTGTAGATTTAATTTGAAATTTAAATAGAGAGATATTATAAAAGAAAATCGATGAAGTCATCATCTTGAAAAATAATACTAATTCTGATAGATATTTTACATAAGTTAATTTAGAAAAACTACCGTCAGATCCCAGTCTAAAAACTAGAATTGTTTATTACAATTGTAATATTTACAAAAAAATGAAATTGACAGCCTCAGAATGAACCGGTAGAAGTACTTATTTGTAAATTAGTATGAAGCTCCTTCTCAACAAACTTTCTTGACAATTCACTGCTTAAATATTTAATGTATTAGTCATGTGACTGATATACTTCATATAAGTTATTTTAATGATATACTAAGTATTTGGTATATCAATTATATAGTTGATATTAGACATGTACATTGATCAATCAGGGTCGATTTGGCATGGGAATCGATACCGAAATTGACCTAGTCAGTTTCCAAAAGTAGAGAAGCCAACCGTCCTTTTTAGATAATGAAAGAAATTTGAAAATAATAAATGAAATCAATCATGAAAACCGACGCATTTAAAACCAACGCACAATAAATGTGTTGGTTTTCCAAATGCCACTGCACGGTGGTTGTTTGCAGTGACCTTTCTTTTTTTCGGGGTGCAGGCTATTGCACATTTAAAACCTCTCTTTAACTTTTTTTTTTATATATATAAGTCGATCAATCATTCGTTTTCCATAAGACCGACTGACCGACAGCGGACTGACATATGCTAACGAACCCCTTTCGATTCGATCGGTTTTAATTGATCAGCTCGTTGGGCAGGTATACTTGTACATCTCTAACTGATATACCTAATATCACGTACATTAGTGAAATATTTCATATTAGGTATATCAATTTTTGAAAATAATAAAGGCAAAATCAGAATAAAAAATGAAAATAACTAACCTTTGTTATATATGTAAATATGACAAATGTTTTTGCTACCCATTAAGAACTTTTTTTAATGTATAATATTTTACGGCATTTAAAATTTAGTATCTATTGTCTAAAAGTGCATGCAAATGCATGTGCATGCACACACACAGATGTGTGCATAGGCGCATGAACACATCTAATTATGAAATAAAATCATTAACATTTTTATTTATTATATTTTATTTAAAATGTAAAAATAATAAACATTTTTTTTCTTCTCCTATCAACAAGTTCTTAACATTTATGACTTTTCATTTTTTCACATTTTTTTGTAACACCCGTAGTTTTCGTTAATTTTTATACATAGGATAATTGGCCGTTTAATTTTTTTTTTTTTGAATTAGACATAAAACTTTTTATTAATTAAATTAATATATTCTAAAATGAAATTATTATTTTAAGATTTAGTTTAAAAGATAATTAAAATATCTATTAAGACATTTCCTAAATCAAAAAGGAAAAATATAATAGAAACTATTTTAGAATTTGAATTGAATATTATTTGTATAAATAAGATCATACCATTCTCTCTCGCCAAGCCTTTCTCTCTGAATTTTGCAGCCACTATCTTCCCTCTTATTTAAATTCCATAAGGCAATAGTATCAACTCCTAATTAATTTTGGACCACTATTGAGGTAAGTGGTTTTGCTTTCAAAATGACTAGGTTGTAAAATTTGTGTGATATTTTATTTTAAATTATTTATTTGTTTATAATGTATATGTATGTAATGGTCACGTCATTATTGACAAAATTATATTTTATTAAATTTGAGGGACAATTATAAATTATCCCTAAATTAAAATTAAAGACAAAAAATGACAATTCTCAAATAATGTCAAATGTCTTTCATTGGGTCCTTTGAATTGGATTTGATTGGTAGAATTGGGTCATACAAAGTTGGGCTCACAATCAATTTAGTTTTCAAATCCATTTGATGATATTTTTGCCCGAAACCCAAATTACCATAAGAGCATTATGTGGATTGATATTTAAATTTGAATAAGTCTAAATTCACTTACAGAACGTGGTTGTGTCCAAAATCATCTAAGCCCAAATATTTTGAAATTAAATTGGGTTCATAACCCAAATAGAGTCAAAATTCATGGGTTGGATTCAAAATCACCCAAGCCCAATTCCTACTAAAGTCTATGGGAAACTTTATAAATAGAGGAGTCTCAATCATTTTAAAGAGTTCAGAAGTTGAGAATTTGAGAGAATTCAAACATCAAATTGAAGACTCTCTCTAAAGACTTGGAGATTCGAAGATCAACGTGAAAACTTTGAAAACTTGAAGACTTTTGAAGTGTATAGAACTTGGATCCAAGTTCAAGAACAAGCATCTCAATCTTCACATCAAGTTCGAGAGGAAGAATTAGATGATAAAGACTAGATATTGAATCAACTATACAAACATACAACAACATAAAAATTCAACTCCACGAAAATAAATTTCTCCCAAAATCTCGTGTGAGCAAATTGCACGCCTAGTGGGACAATCTCTACCTCTCATCTCTTTCTCAAGACTCAAAGTATTCTAAGAAAAGTAATGGAATTTAAAGAGGCTTCTATAACGACTGTTATCATGAGTAACCTTCATATGAGTCATATCACCCATGGTTGCTCTTATGAATTCCAACTACGGAAAAATCAAACTCCTCCTATTGTTGCTAGCAAACTAACGATGCTGCTAGAATTATCTATTGAAGATGAGTTTCTTGTTAATCATAACCTCTAATTTGATCCTAATCCTAACATAGTCTCTGTTATGATGACAGATGCAAGCACCATGGATAGAAAAATGGCAGAAATAGAGAGGAAAATTAGAAACCTAATGAAGGCAATCGAAAAAAAAATTCTCAAATCGCCTCTCTATAGAATGGGTTGAGAGCCAAGATACTGCTGAATCAAGTTAGACCCCAGTTGTCAAAGATAACAGCAAAGGGAAGACCATCTTGCTAGACGATCAACCACAAAACTTAGTTTCAATCCTTCACTCTCTGTTCAACAACTCCAGGATATGATAACAAACTCTATCAAAGCTCCATATGGCGGATCCTTTCAAAATACTCTCTTGTATTCAAAATCATATTCGAAGAGAATTAACAACTTGAGAATGCCCATTGGGTATCAGTCTCCTAAGTTTCAGCATTTCGCAGGAAGGGCAATCCAAAACAACACATTGCTCACTTCCTTGAAACCTGTGAGAATGTTGGTACTAGAGGTGATTAATTGGTCAAGCAGTTCGTACGTACATTGAAAGACAACGCCTTTGATTGATATACTGATTTAGAGCCTGAGACGATCGAGAGTTGGGAACAACTTGAAAAAGAATTCCTAAATCGCTTCTACAGTACGAGGTAGATTGTCAGCATGATGAAGCTCACTAATACTAGACAATGAAAACGTAAACCCGTTGTTTAATTGAGAGTTTTGAGTCTTGATTGCAAAAATTGGCTTACTGAACTATCTGCTATCGAGGTGCGTACTCAAGGTATGCATCTGTTACAACTAGTAAGATTAATGTCAAGGTGAGTAACTAATAAAT